TTAGACATGTTGGATCATTAATTTAATTGATCAATATGTTTTTATTTTTAAAATATTATAATTTCTTTCTCCTCAACTCTATTTCATTATCTTTATTTTGATGTCAATAAAAGACACAAAGGAGGAAATATTGGTATATATATGGAATCTACTGGAAGTCAATGTTACTTGATCGTCTATTCATTAAATATCAATGCAACGACTAAAAATTCGTCTTTTTAAATGTCACATAGATTAAGAATTGAATATACTCTAAAATCACATCTAAATTTGGATTAAAAAATCTTATTTTTTTTTGAGTCTAGACATTGTCTATTTTTTCATTTGACACGTCAATTTAGCGGTGTTCCTTACAACTTGGATTAAAGATTTATTTTTTTAAAACGACGTCTATTTATGCTACGTGACAAATTTTTAAAGCAATTCACGATTGAATAAGATATTTTTAAAAGATTTTACTTATAGAACTATGAGTTCACAATTAAGTCTTTAGTAATTTTGATTCGTGAAAGTTGCAAACTTATTCTGAAATAATTTGAATTCGATATTTACATATATATTTTTCATGAAAATTGCAAAACGGCTTGGAAAAAGAATATACATATCCTGCTTGTAATATTATGTTAAAAGGTAACTGTCTTTGTTGAAATGATAAAAAGTATTTAAAAGAATTTGTTTTTAGTATGACATTGTTGGGCATGAGATTGGAGAAAATATTTAAACATATTTCATAATTTCATGGCAAATTCAAGATGAGCATATGAGAAAAAAAAAATCTCGAGGATTCCAACCCGTTTGAGCAACAAATAGAATATCTTCTCTCCAACTTATTTCTCAATAACCAGATAAATTCAATATAGTTTAATATTTTACTATATTTTAACTCATCTCAATCTCAAATTTAGTCATGCAAATTTTGTACCGAACGGGATGGCAAGTCCTAATTTGCTCATCCCTGACTATACTACGATGGCTTTTCGAATCCACAATGAACCAGCTAATCTTTACTCCAACCGTGCAGGTAAATTAGATGTTGTAATTTATTGTTCAACTTATATTGTAAGTGTATTGTGTTGACATACAAAAATAAGGCACAATTATTAAGTTAGACTCAATTATGTGGTCCAAGAAATGGTACCCAATTAGGGAAATTGAGGAATGAGCCCAAATAAGACAATTGTAAAATATAATGACAGTCCAC